AAAAAAAAAACTAGATGATCGCTGAACATCTCAAAAAGCTAAATTTTAAAGTATCAATCTCAAATCTCAAAGCAAAAAGCCAAGCAGGCGCTCGCCAGAAACTTACCTCTGGCGCTAAATATTCCGGTGTTCCGCAAAATGTGCTTGTTTTGTCGCCAAAGCTAATCTCTTCCTTACATAGACCAAAATCAGCTATTTTGATATGTCCGTCCTTGTCAAGAAGTAAATTTTCTAGCTGGAAAAAAATTGATTTTCGTTTACAGAATCAAGGATTTTGATAAGAGAGAAGTAAATCAACAGCACTACACATTTAGAACAGCGACATTAACATAAAACGCTACAAAGGCGTGAGCATCATAAAGCAGATGCGGTGGCACTATGCTGCATCAACCAAGCTTCAGAATAGAAAGGTGGGAAGGAATATAAATTTCAAAATCACGAGTTTCCTAACAGTGAGTTTATGGCTATCTAATGCACTCATTAATGACGACAAAAAACTACCACTACGGCAAACGCAGAGAACACGCCAGTGGAACCTTTCTTGAGCCTCTTAAACGGCTTTTTTGTCAAGTTCATCTGGCGCATTTCTCACACAGTAGCAGACCTTGAGATCACGATAGACGATGTTGTTGGCATGAAGGTAGCCAAGCGCGAGAACAATCTCAGCTCCATAAAAGCGAGCTCGGGGCTCAGAGAAGCCCTCCTTCGAAATTTGTACTTCACGGTTCAGATGGTAGTATAGATCGCCGCCAATCGCGAATTCCATCACAAAGCAGAGACGATCAGCGGTTTGAAACGAGTACTTCAGCTCCTGTACACAAATTTTATAGCACGTGCACCTTTTTAAAAATGAGAAGCAAAGCGAAACGCACTTTCCGGGCGACCTACAATTCAACGTTACTATTCTTAAAAAGTATGCTCAGATGTTCATTTGCATTGTATTCAAAAGCTTACAAGTAGTACAGTGATTCTGGATGACAAGATGAATTGACCAAAATCAAATGGCACTTTTGACAAAGCGTACAGTGCTCAGTCAATTAAGTTCTTCAAATACACGTTAAGGAAAAAAACTAGAGTTTAGTGATAAATCTTTGCGCAGAAGAATGTCGTCGAGCAGAAGTGGATATGTATAGTCGAGTAGATTTGACGTTCGCATATGCAATTGCACCTTGCGCGCTCGTTCCCAAAAAAACAAGATACATAAGTATTCCACAACGTCATTATCAGACCATTTTCTTAATGCTTTCTGTGAACTTCTTCAGTTCACGTTGAATTGATATTAGAAATTAACTATTACGATAAGCATAACCCTATTTACTTGATCTCAACACATAACCAGCTCTGAAAGTATTTACACGGATGCAATCGTTTCAAAAATTTCGCAAATTTTTTAAGATTTAATTATAAAATAACAAATGCTTACAATAATTAGCTGTATGCTTTGTCGGAATTTAAGTATTTGATAAAGAGGAAAAATTTAGCCTAATTTTGATGCATACTATACGGATGACTCGCTGGATGTGATTACAATGCAAACGGTCAAATCTACTCAGATTTTGTTCTAATGTTCACCAATAAAACCTATAATGCTATTTGAATCAGCTTGCCATGTTTGGAGTAGCCGTATAAAAAGGACTCTAGAAGAATTATGCAATTATAGAAGGAATAATAGGCTTAGCATGTTAACGTTGCTCAACAAGAAATAACGTACATAAGAATGCATCTCGCAATTGTGAAAAAAATGGACAAATTGATTATTTGTGTGCATGTCGTAACACCGAAACTTGAATCAGGATAAAAATAACAGGATTTGTTAATTACGTTGCAAGATTGAGCTGCATCTTCAACAAAAAACATAATTACACCAAAATTGCTGCAATCCTTATATCGTGCGTTGACAAGCAACAACTTTCGCTGGAGTAGATAAATCAGATAAATTATATCCATTTTCAACAATTTTACAATCTTTGATGTTCTCCCAGGTTGAACCAAGCTCTAGACAAACACATCACAAGAACTATCTGATTCAGGGACTGCAAGAAGAGCTTCTCGCAAAAACAGGTAAGATAGAGAAATTTTTGACCTCGAGTGGAACGAGATACAAAGAGTAAGCTAGATGATATTACGTTGCAAATAAATCTATACAAGATGAAGCTGGAAATGTCGTCCTCAATTTTGCGCTCGTCGCCTGCCAAAATCCTCGACAATTATGGCTATACAATGAAAAAAAATCGAGTTTTTGAAAAAGAAACAACAGGATGACCACAACTGGAAGGGATGGTAAAAGCTGTTGATATGCTCCCAATAACTACGTTTCCAGAAAGATGTGCTCATTTTTGACGGATGACATGCAGAATTGAAGTTTCACTAATTGTCTTCCTACAACCTGACAGCTTTTGAAAAAAAAAAACTTATTAAGATACTGAATTTTTGCTACGAAACAAGACAGACCGGAGTATCAAAATTCGCTACATCACTTAATCCATGAACCCTAAAAATACGACGAAAGACTCTTATTGCATAAATGCAAAGGCCTACATGATCATAAGAAAAATAGCCTTGAAATTGCTGCCTGCCTTTTGGGAAAAGCAAACTTATACGAGAGTTTGTAAATACTCTTCTTATCCCGATGTCTATGATATAGTAGATGGGCAAAACTGTGTTCTTCAATTCTTACGTATGCTATCTCGAAGAAGCAGCTACGGCTCAAATAAACATTTTCATGATCATATGATCAAATCGATTTCTGGAGGAACCTTCAATAGGAAGTGAAGGAAAGTGATTTAATGGTCAGCAAGCCGGAGCAGAACTTGGTGTTCCAAAAGTATTCCGACTTTCTAGACGCAAACAAATATAATTTAGCAGATAATTTCCAGAACCTTATCACTACAACTGATTTAGAAGGGGGAAAAGCACAAGCGTCGATTAGATAATACCATCTGATACTACAAACAAAAAGGTTACCACGGTGCCCATCAAATGGCGCAACTTCACAAGTTCCGCGTGGAAAAGGCTCACTTCTCATAAGTGGTTGTTCAGCGATGCTAAATGCAAGTTCTAGATCAACGTTTCTGAATCTGTTGGCCTACAACATGCCTCCAAAACAATAATCAACGCATCTTTTCTTCGTAAGTTATACTGCTTATGAGCAATAGCAACGCAGAAACCAAATTCGGTATGAATAGCAGGTTATGCAAGCAAATCAATGATTTCAAGAATTTTATCACTAGAAATTAACCAAAAGTAGATATTCAACTTAGCGAGCTTGAATTTAGCATAGAAAAAGCATAACTAGGCAACGCTATTAGTAAATTGGAGCAGCGTGACAATTCCGTCTACACCATATCCTCATCACCATCATAATAATACATGAATATACATGCTATGAAGGAATTTTGAGAAATCAAGCTAAAAACAACAGTGATAAGAGCAACTTCTTCAACGACTGAACGGACAACTCCTGTCGCCACTTCGAAATGCCAAAATTTTCCGTCTATGTAACTTGAGCACCGAGAAATACTTATATATGGCTACAGATAAGAAACATAAGCAAGATTGCCTTCCAACACTTTTTCGCTTTCTAGATTCCTCCACAAAAGATCTTTGCAGAGAATATGTTATGAAACAATTAGTTAAGGTCTTAGAAGTCTTTCCCGCCATCTGCCGGTAAAAAAAATTTCATGGAACTCTATTGACAGACATGAAAAAAAA